AAAAGTACAAGTGAGTTTCCAAATTACTAGAATAAGGTTTTGGGAAGTGTCGAAGGACGAGATGCAATGGAATGGTTTCTAGAAGTTGAAGGTTTCTGGAAGTTATGCGTGACACTTTATTAAGGGAAGTCGAAAGGAGAAACAATTAGGCTAACCTGAGAGTGGTACACAATGATTTATTTCGGTGAGGTAGTGAACACCAACAACAACGAGATCAATCATAACAAATCATGGTGAGCTTAGAGACACTTGTAGTGACAACTACAACAAATAAGGTTATATCCAGCTTGGTAAGGGTCTAGCACGAGAGGTTCTCATGGCGGTTGGTAATGTAGAGGGTAAGTGAACAAGGTGGTTGCATATCAAAGTCGTTGCCTTTATTTATGATTCATACTCAATGAAAACTTGCTAATGTTTGATATATCGTGGCTTTTTTAGAGTAAAGGGTTTGCTTAGGTCAATAATCGCACTCATGATCCTGATCTTACTTAATTGAGTGTATTAAGTAAAGAAGAACAAAAACGTGAGAAAAGAATAAAAGAATTGAAAAAACTGAAAAGAAAATAAAAGAAAAAAAAATAAAAAATAACCAAATAATAATATTTATCAACATATTTTTTGTCAATAATTATTAACGAATTTTATTGACAAATTTATCATATATGATTATTAACGAAATATTTTATTTCATCAATAAAATTTACATAAGAACTTTATTGATAGATTTTAAATATTATTAACAAATTTTGTTCATTTTAATATCAATTTTTTAGAGGAATTTAAAAATTAAAAATAGTTTATTTGAAAGTTATTTTTTATGAAAGTGATTTCATATTAACAAAATATTTTTCTTCTAAATACGGGAAGAAACTAACTGCTAAAAGACATTGCATGTCACACGAAGAATAATTAGGCTACAATTGTTGAACTTTAAACCTGTACAACTTTGAAATTTTTCCCCTATTAATAACAAAAAAAAAAAAAATAGGGAAACGGCAAAACCATACATGTATTTTGCCTATTCTTTATTTTGTTTGTCCATCGTGTTGTTTAATTCTACGAAGCTTTCTAAGATATATTAATAATCGAACACTGTTCAAAATATACAACTTTTTACGCGTTCACTTTTGACTTTGTTGAACTTTTTTTTTGACAAAAATGATATATTTTGGATCAGTGCTTATCATTGTCACTAACTCACCAATGTGTGCAAAATATACAGCGGTTGATGGTCAGAGACAACCTAATTTCTATGTGCTTTCTTTCTTTGTCGCGAAGACTTTTTATTATAAACAGTGTGAAAAGAAAGGAAACATATTAGACATTATCTGCTATGTATTAATTATCATCATCATTATTAATTATTATTACTGTTGTAATTATTTTTATTATTAGTTATTATTATTAAGTTTGGATCTGGCTTGTTTATTTATTTATTACATAGTTTGACTTTAACCAGTTTACAAGTGTGATTTGACCAGAAAAAAAGTTAGTAGCTTGTTTTTATAAGAAAAAAAAGTTATAGATAAACAAATAAATTTAACTAAGTTAACAAATCTAAAAGGATAATAGATATTAATTATTATATAAATTATTTTTATTTTCAATTACTAATATTAAATGAGAAAAAAAGAAGAAGTCATTATATTAAAAGTTAACAGATCCATAAAATATCGCTAACTACTTATCTTGTCATAGAATAAAAAATAAGAAAAAGTTGTATAAGCTAAAATAATTAAACAATAAACTATGTCAATTAATATCGTTAAACATTTGTAGCTTTATAGCTATTAACATGTATGTTTTCTCCTAAAATTAAAAAATTAATATTAAAAAATAATTTTATTATTTAATAAAAAAATATAACAACTAAAAAATTTCAAATAAACTTGCGTTTGAATTTATTACCTATAATGAAATTCAAATTTTATAAATTAAAAAATATGATGTAATTAACTTGACTTGAAGTAGCCAGCTTTATATTTATCATAATTATCTTAAAATTTATACTAATAATAATTTATAATTAAATAATATTATTAAAAAAATGTATGTATTATTTCAACTTAAATTTTTTATTTCACTTTTCTTAATTCTCTAAATATGTATTTTTCTTTTCTTGTGACATGCATGTGTACAATTGATCAATCATAAATTCATATGTCCAGCACTTTTAAATTTTAAATTTATAATATTTTTTAATGTAAAGTTAATATTAGTAGTTAAAGATATATGTTATATTTACAAAATATGTACTATTACATTAAATATATATTACTATTATTGCGTAAACATGATTGTTGTCTGCTCTAACATGCTTTCCCTAAACCTATAAAACATAATCTTCTAAGTTAAAAGGATTTAAAAAAATTAAATAAGTTATTTCTTATAAACGAGTTAGACTAGAGCTTTAGTTATTGAAGCCATTGGTCCTGAAAGTTGGCCCGATCGATTTCAATTCCTAAAAAAATGCCAATGCTTGGTTTAAGTTCAAATATATGGTTGGTTTGGTACAACCCAAATCTTGAATTTTGATGAAGACTAAGGTTTTGAATGATTATTTTGTTGTTAATAGCTGCTTATGCTGAATACTGCTAAAATTCTCTGTTCCCACCTCAATTTTCTAAAATTAAAATACAGAAAAAACACTGAATTACTGATAGAAATTTCAGTATCATCAACCTTGCATAACCAAAACCACCCAGACCAATGAACCAGAAACTCTCCTTAAACACATTAAATGAACAACATATGTGTATGTTTGATGATGGATCCCTTTGATAATGATGATGGAAAGAGAAAATGATGAATGAGTATTTAATTTTAGTGAGTTATTGCTATTTGCTTATCCCACAATCCAAGTCCCCAGATTTGGTTTATTTGGATAAGATGGGGCCGAATGATTAGGACTTCATATTATTAAAAGTAAAGCTAGTGGGTACTACTCGTTGGAGCCATTCTGCAATTTCAACTATATAATGATTCTCAGTTAATTATATTAACTTCTCCATTGATGCCTCATTTGATTCTTTTCATACAAGAGCTTACTAACAACTGCATCGACCCATTTTCTTCATTTTTCATTTTTTTAAATATTAAAATACAAGTTTAAAAATTTAGTAAAAATAAGAAATATCTTTCAAAAGGTAAACTTATATTCTAACCATTTTATTTAGTTATATATTCTCACCCAGTACCCTTTTCCCACCAATATGTAATTTTCATTTAATTGTAACCATTATAACTAAACAGCACTTTAAGATTGGTCTTCTCTTCTAAAAAATGTATTTAAGGAAAATCAAAGTCTTGCTATATGCAGGAAGTAAAGTCCAAAGTTGGGAAAGAAGAGGACCCTCCTAACTCTGACTCTGTCAACAAGTACAAAATCTTGCTCATTTCACGTTACTATTTTCAATGTTTTAGCTATTATAAAAATGAAAGTTGCAACATTCCCTTCCATCACATTCCACGCCTGAAAATGGAGCAGTGACGTTGTATGACGTGAGACCCTACGTCAATACGCACAGTAAAATAAATGAATCTCTTCCGAGAGACTTATTTGTACCATATACTTGATGATTGAGTGAGAATTTCATCTATTGTTTATGTATGGAAGATTTGAAGTCAGTATTAACATTAAGACTAGACATATTTAGAATGAAAGAAACGTAGGGGTAAAGGAGAAGCAACATTGTGCAAAATGCATCCAAGTCTTGTTACTTTTTAATGGAAGTCTTTGATGAGTTTTCCACTTGCTTGCCACTACCAAATTCCAGAAGCTCGGCTTTTCTTAAAGTAAATTACATATCAGAGTTCTGTTCATAAAGAGACTGGTCAAAGAATCAAGAAATAATCTTTTAAAAAAAATACTCATAAAAATATTTGCTATATCAAAAGAATATCTTTATTACCCGTTTTTACTTATGTTAAAATATTCAGCAAACCATGAAGAAAGAAACAGTATTTAGAGAATAACTTTCAGATGAAAAAGTGAAAAGAAAAAAATAACTTATCTGTGTTAATTTGTAAAAAAAAAATCTTTTATTTTTGGTTTAATGTCTCAATAGGTCCCTATTTTTGTTCAGAATTTGAAATAGGTCCCTTTATTTTTTGGCGTCTCAATTGGGTCCTTATTTTTGTTAATTTGATGCAAATAAATCATTTCCGTCAATTTCATTAAACGGCGTTAATGAATGTGTGACGTGGCCTTACACGTGTCAATACTGTCCTCAGGCCACGTCACACATTTATTAACGCCGTTTGATGAAATTGACGGAAAGGATTTATTTGCATCAAATTAACAAAAATAAGGACCCAATTGAGATGCCAAAAAATAAATGGATCTATTTCAAATTTTGAACAAAAATAGAGACCTATTAAGACATTAAACCTTTATTTTTTAATTTGTGAATAAATTAATTTAAATTCGCAGAGAATTTTATTCTATTTCTCTTTCTTCTAAATCTTTTTGAGGAGTTCCCCGAATGCAGAAAGAGAATAAATAAAAGTATAAGAATGATAAATAATACAACGTAGTAAGAGAAAAATATAAAATAAAAAAAATTAGAGATGTTATTACTGTAAGAGTGTTGCAGAAACAGGTGTCGTAGTGACAGAAGTGGTTCCAGGTCTGTCAAGATAACCTGTTACCTCTTAATTAATTAGTGTGAATGAATATGACTAATTTCTCTTCCCAAGATTTTCCTGTGTTATTATCTATGTTATAACTTCAAAATTGAAATAAAAAGTTTAGATAAAGTCTCCAAAGGTGTATGTTAAACTTTGTTCAGCTTTTTAAAGTCTATATTAATCGCGGAGATCAACAACGAATAAATGAATAGTAATTCTAATTAAGTGATTTCAGTAGCATTTATCTTTCTAAAGAGAAGTTTTCTTTTTTTTCATTTTGAAATTATTTGAACGCATCCTTAAAGAAACATGTAATGTAATTTCCACTGTTTTTCTATTAAGGTTGTTGAATTCCTTCCATATTTTGGTCCAATCATTATGAGTTTCAAAGGTTTTTCCTTCAGTTCTAAACAGTTACTTAACAGTATATATAGGTTCTCAAAGCTCCCACTTGTTAATCTTGGCATTTGTCTTATTTGTTGCGATTCCACCAACCTGAATTCCTAATCCACCAACTTTCTTCTGTAGAAAACTGTTAAACTGTGTTATTGCTATTTGGCTTGGCTATATCTCTATGACACTAGTCAAAGACCTATTCTAACCTCTCTACTCTCTCTAAACACAGTTCTGAGATTCATACTCATCTGTCTCTGTACACAGTGGCAGGGTAGGAAGACTGCTATGGTCTGTCTGCTTCTTTCTTTCTAATTCCACAGGTACCCTTCCTCCCTGTGGTCATTCATCTTAATTTCCATCAACAAAATCTATATCATGTGTTTTAAATACTGAAACTTATTGCTCCTTCTGATGAATGGTACTATCTGTTGCAGTCCTAGTAAACTGATTTCAATCTGCAGCAGCAGATGATACGTGTTATATAGAGTGATGCATGCATGTGATTGCAAAAAAAAAATGTGAAAGAAGGCTTTAGTCCTTCCTCTTAGATGATATTTGTTAAAATTCAATCTTCTAAGAAAGTTTTTAACTTTTCCTTGTACATGTCTCTGGTCCCATGTTTTGTTAATTCTTTTCTGTTACTGTCACTTGATCTATCTACTCGTATACTGGGCTACAATTTCAAACGAGTTGTCTTACAAAATATGCTGTGGATCCTCACTGGATACAGTGGATTTTGAGGCCGGTGATTCTCCCAGCTAAAGACAAATAAAGATATAGATGCTATCAAGAGAGTTAGTATTTGCAGTAGGAATTTCATTTCAATTTGATTTCTGGCTTGAGTCAACATATATCATGTTGCGTATCTCTTCAATTTGAACGTGTAAAGAATCATCGAACAATTTTGTTGTTTTTCCTTTTGGTTTCCGGAGCATGTGATTTGATTTCAAGAGTGTGTTTTTATTTTTATGGGATCGGATTCTAGAATCTGGAGATTGCAGATAGAAGATCATAGTTTAAATGATAAAGCAAAGAAGAGGTTTTTAATATTTATTTTACTTTTCCAAATACAGAGGAGACCAATATGATAGGTATAATGGTATTTGCTATGTTAAGGTGGAATTTTACCTGTCATGTCAACTCATCAACTCATGTAACTCATGTATGACTGGATCCAGTAACTTTTATTTTTAAAAACACATTTGAAATCTCGTGGTTGGCCGAGTAGGATAATATTCAGTACTTGAACAATTTCAACCATGGTGATTCATCCGAGAATCAAGTAGCACCAAATCCTCTTTTCATTGCCACACTGATATGACTGATTCAATTTTACAGATGAGAAAATATACTTGCACAAGTTATGTGAGAGATATTCTTAATCTGGAACACGATTTTTTTCATGTAAAAAACTTATGTGAATTTGAACAGGATGAATCATCCAACTGATTTATGATGGCTTTACTGTATTTGTTGACTGAGGCAACAAAACTCACCAGTGTTTCTAGTATTTTTTTTCTTTTTCCTATTCACATAGATTAATAGTTCTGCCTGAAAGTTCACCTGCTTTTTTTTTCTTATTCTTTTGTTTCTCTTACCAGATTATAGTCATCCTAGAAGGTTCAACAAGATTACATCACTGAGCAACTCTGCCTGCTGTACTATTTCTCAAGGTGTGTAAGGAAAAATATATATTTATAGTTCTTATTTACTACAGATTTCAAAGAATTTTACAGGCTCATTATTTATGTTTCTATAAGCCTAAAATTCTGCTTGAATTGTATAACAGGCGAATCATGTCATTAGTTAGGTCTGCTGATGTTAGACCAGGCTTGTCCTCTCAAATTTTTGGTCCTGATAAGCATAGGAGCATGTACATGACAGATTCTTACTCCAGCGAGAGTTATGAGAAGTACTTCAATGACTCTCCAACAGAAGAACTGATAGAACCATCTAACTCCAGCATCTCTGAAAGTTCAATCCCCCCTGATGTGGCCTCTTCTTACCAGCTTACGGCCAGTTCAGAAGCTTCTGTGGTTGCCAATAACCCATTTGATTGTTCTTTCATGTCCACAGTGACACACGATGTTTATGAGGCAAACTATGGATCAGATTTGATGGAGAATGGAAGCCTCGATTCCCGTGAAAATGATGGTCTAATGAGTTTAAAACTACAAGCATTGGAGAGGGCATTGCTTGATGACAGTGAGGCTGAGGAGGAGGAGCTTGAAGAGGAAGACATATTTGAGGCTGTTCAAAGCATGGAAATTGATCCAGACATTGCAGAGTGGTCTGATTCCATGCAGAATATGGTCCTCCATGATTCACCAAAGGAGTACTCTTCTTCAGATTCCAGCATCAGCAGCATCGTCAGCAGCACCAAAGAAATATCACAAATTTCTCAGACCCCAAAGCAGCTGCTTTATGAATGTGCTATTGCACTTTCAGAAGGAAACGAAGAGGAAGGATCATCCATGATAAACAATCTCAGACAGATGGTGTCAATTCAAGGAGAGCCTTCTCAAAGAATTGCAGCCTATATGGTTGAGGGGCTAGCAGCTCGCCTAGCGGAATCCGGCAAAAGTATTTACAAAGCTCTGAGATGCAAGGAACCACCTTCTTCAGATCGTCTAGCAGCCATGCAGATACTGTTTGAGGTTTGCCCATGTTTCAAATTTGGATTTATTGCTGCTAACAATGCAATTACAGAAGCAGTGAAAGATGACATGAACATTCATATCATAGACTTTGACATCAACCAAGGAAGTCAGTACATTAATCTAATCCAAACACTGGCTTCAAGGTCAAGTAAGCCACCCTATGTTAGATTGACTGGGGTTGATGATCCTGAGTCTGTGCAGCGATCTGTTGGAGGCCTAAAGAACATAGGACAAAGACTAGAAAAACTGGCAGAGGCACTTGGTCTGCCATTTGAGTTCCGAGCAGTGGCATCAAGGACTTCCATTGTCACCCCATCAATGCTCAACTGTAGTCCTGGGGAAGCACTTGTGGTGAACTTTGCATTCCAGCTTCACCACATGCCTGATGAGAGTGTTTCAACAGTAAACGAACGGGACCAACTTCTTCGTTTGGTGAAGAGCTTGAATCCAAAGCTTGTGACAGTTGTGGAGCAAGATGTGAACACAAACACTACCCCCTTCTTGCCTAGATTTGTTGAAGCCTACAATTACTACTCTGCTGTGTTTGAGTCACTTGATGTTACCCTTCCAAGAGAAAGCCAGGACAGGATGAATGTTGAAAGGCAATGCTTGGCCAGAGACATTGTCAATGTTGTTGCATGTGAGGGTGAGGATAGGATAGAACGATATGAAGTGGCAGGAAAATGGAGAGCAAGGATCACAATGGCTGGCTTCACTTCATCTCCAATGAGCACAAATGTGACTGATGAAATCAGAAACCTCATTAAGGTGATGTATTGTGACAGGTACAAGATTAAGGAGGAAATGGGTGCACTTCACTTTGGTTGGGAAGACAAAAACTTGATCGTTGCTTCGGCATGGAAGTTACCAAGATAATGAACTATGTTAGTAGACACACTTATTGTAGTACTGGTAATGTAGTGTTTGCTTGCTTGTTTAGTGTGTAGAATACTTCTGATATTTCTATTCTAGTCTTTGCTTGCTTCTCCACATGTACACACTAACTTACAATCTTAATCTAATAACGACATTTTCATTTTATCTAACATGGGTGGAGGAAGACAAAGGCACAAAGTAATGGTGATCTTTATGTTTAAGCTAGCAAATATTTTTTAATTTCAAAATTTTCAGAAAAAAAAAAGGGACAAATATAACATGTAGAGATGTCACTTTAGTCAATGCCCTATGCATAATCATAAGTTTCCTTTTAGGGGTTCTAAAATGAGAGCCCAAAAATGACCCCACCCTCTGGTCTCTTTTCAAACGGTTAAGGTCAAGACTAAGGTGCACTTGATTTCATTAAAAAAAAACTTTAATTAACTCCTAAAAACAATATATTGAGTTTGAGGTAAGGGGTCTCTTAGCCTTTGACAGGGTACACTAAACCGAAGGTTAAAAGGGACCATTTTGAACGGAAATTTGAAATGGACCATCATGAAGATGAGTTATCTTGGATCGAGGATCGAAATGGGTCGGTCAGAGTCAAAGGTTGAGACAAGCTAACAATTGAGACACGTCGAACTAGGCTGAAGGTCAAGAAGAGTTGGCTTAGGTTGAAAGTTAAGATGTGTCGGCTAGGGCCAAAGGTCGAGTCGGGCAGGCCAGGCCGAAAGTTTAGACATGTCGGCCCAAGCAAAGGTCGAGACAGGTTAGTTTGGCATGGGTCGAAGGTCGAGATTGGTTAGTACAGACTGAAGGTTAAGATGGATCGACCAGAGTGAAAGGTTGACACAGACTTACCCAAGTCAAAAGGTGTGATGGGCTGGCTTGAGCCACGATATAAATTGGCCTAATTTGGCCACAATCAAAATTTGCTTGAATTCAATCGAGTCAACCACAACTAGAATTTGATTGAGTTGGCCTTGAGAGAAATTTGGCTAAATTCGATCTTGTCGGCCCTTGTAGAAATTTCATTGAATTCCAAGTCAAAATTAGAGTGAATTTGACCTTGTTGGTCCTAGCCGAAATTTGACTGAATTCAACCTAGTCAACCATTACCAAAATTTGGTCGAATTCGGCGAAGTCGATCTCGAGCAAATTTCAGCCGAGTAAGCCATGGCTGAAATTAGGCTGAATTTGGTTGAGTAGCCACGACCGAAATTTGGTCGAATTTAACTAAGTCAGCCTCAACCTAAATTCGATCGAATTCGACTAATTTGGCTCTGGTCGAATTCTTCTAAGTCGGCCACGATTGAAATTTGGTTGAATTCGATCAAATCGTCCCTAACCAAAATTTGACCTAATTCTACAAAGGGTCACAATTGATATTCGACTGAATTGGCCTAGTCGAATTCCACTAAGTGGGCCTCGACTAAAATTTGGCCAAATTTAACCGATTCATTCTCGACTAAAATTTGACCAAATTCAGCTTAGTTAGATTCCGATCAAAATTTGGTCAAATTCGGTTAAATCTATCTCAACTCAGATAGAAGATCGAGATAGATGATCCTCCATTGAAGGTCAATGCTAATTAGTTTGACTGAAGGTTGAAACAAACCTATTTGTATTGGTCTTAGCACATAAGGCGGACATTTTTATCCTAGACTTTTTTTTAATGAAAAAGTCTTGTAGACTTTTTTTTTTTTTTTTTCAGAGGGGGCGTTTTTTACTTTTGTAGACATTTCTTCCGTGTGAACTTTTGTGGGCATTCTCCCTTATATTCTCAATTACTTCAAAACCCCAGTTTTTAAAGCTATTTTATGTAGGGTGGACAATCAAACTACTTAACTATTCTATTAGATATGCCCTGCTACTGTAGATGCTTGAAGAGTTATAACATCTTAAGGTTCACATTCACCAATGATTCAAATGATAAGCATTTAAGCTCTTGAAGAGTCCTCTCTTTAAAGTTAGCTGTGATGGAAGAAAAGTCATATCATTTAAATGTTTCACCAAATGTCACGATCCATACTTAAATTATGAGTGGCGCATATAACTATAATTTATTTGGCCTTATCAACCTAATACAATATCAAAACACAAATTTAAAAAATCAATGTGAGCTACCGAAAATTTGGTACAATGTCCCTACTAAATACAATAGTCGATATATTGATTCTGTTAAACCATGCAAATACACATGTATATATACATAAATCCAAATCCAATGATAAAGTTCCAAAACCACACGTCACCACTTTACTAAATAACAAATGTGATGAAATAAGGATAAATTGGAGATTTTAGTCCAATATAAAAAGAGAATTAATTTCTTAGTTTTCATGAGGGTTGAAATCAAAATCTGAGTAGGAAGTTGTATTTTCATGTGTTAAAAGTCCCACATCGATTAGAGATAAGACCAAATTATAATATATAAGTGGATACGAATCTTATCTTATAATTTGGTTTTGTGGGGTTGAACTAAGCTTAAACTTCACTTCTTAACATCATGTGATATATTCATTTGATGATATTTTGATCGAAGTTAATAATGTCTTAGTAAAAGTCAACTAAAAACTATTTGATTTAATTGAAAGATACTTTATTTTGTAATTTTTAAAAAATCATAGTTATAAATTTTAAAAGCTCTAGAAAGGTTTTTACTACCTATTAACAGTGATATAATTAATATGCATTTATATGTGAATAGAAGAATTTTTGTAATTAAAAATGATTTTTTTAGTAAACCCAAGTTATCATTTGGATTTTGTTAGGAGTCGAAAAATAAAATGTGTCAGGAATTACAGCTTGTCCCGTTCGTGGATTCACCTTTTCTAATTTTTTAATTTTTTTTAAAAAAATCAATTTTTATTTATATATATACTTATAAATAAATATTTAAAATATATTTAATCATATAAATATTTTCTAAGCTTTCAATTTATTAATTAATATTTTTTATAAAATAAATTAAAATAGTTATTACATTTACATTTTATATTACTCTATTATAACTAATAATTTGAATTCAATTGGTAAATGTTAATAATTTAAATTATAGTAGTATTGCATATTTATATTTTAATATAGAAAAATTAATCTTTTTAATTTAATTTTTATGTTAAAAATATTAAAAAACAAAACAGACTAATGAATTAGGAGTGGACTGACCTGTCTTTGGCTCGCCAATTTAGCGGGCTAGGTGAGCTGTGTCAAAATGGGTTGGTGAGTTGGCCCGCGAGGCACAACCCATTTTGACATCCTAGAGTCTGTAAAAGACTTTTAGAATTTAAATTACCAATGAATAGTTGGGTAGGGTGTTGCTCTCTCCACCACCCCAAGTGCTCCTGCACCTCTTTACTATTTTCTTTTATTCCAAAAATACCCTACACCTCTCCACTATATTCAACAATCTTTTTCTTTCTCTCTCCACATTAATGGAGCATTCACATGGCTCAAATTTAAACTTGTGATATATTACAAAATTTTATTTGCACTTTCTCTTAAATAAGTTTGATTCAATCTTATTTTCACTGTTCAATATATTTTTTTCTCTTCAAATTAGTTAATAAATGATAAAATTTTGTTCTAAATTTCTAGAAAAATGTTTATATATATGTGTGTTTTTAATTTTTAACATTATATTATGTTTTAACTTACCGACATGTTTGACTCAAATAACTTGAATAAAATATTTAATTTATTAGATAAATAATATAAAAATATTATTAAATACTTAAAATATAAAAGAAAAGTTATTTGTTAAAGATTTGGAATTTATTTGGTTCTTTCGTCATTATAAAGTTCGTATATAATAATAATAATATATTATTTACTATTAATATTATTATGTTTATTATTTTGTATTTGCACTAATATTGAAGTTTCCTCTGAATTTTATATTTTGCAATATATCACAAGTTTAAATCTAAGCCATATGAATTCTCCATTAATGTAGAGAGAGAAAGAGAAAGATTCTTGAGGATAGTGGGGAGGTGTAGGGTAGTTTTGGAATAAAAAAAATAGTGGGGAGATGTAGAATATTTTTGGAATAAAAGAAAATAGTGGGGAGGTGCAGAAGCACTTGGGGTGGTGGAGGGAGCAACACCCTAAATATTTTCATCGATAATTATCCATCATTAAAATTAGTTTGTAAGATCCATAAATAAATTATACTTTAATTACCAACAAATATTTTATTTGATAATGTATTTGATGCTTTATTCCGTCAATAAATTTCAATATTAATTTGTAATTTCTATTATCGTCAAACTTTTTGGTCAATAAAATGAGTGGTTAATTTCCTATTAAGTTTAATGAGACTTTTTTATATATTAAGGAGTGATGGATGAAAAGAAAAAAAAAAGAGAATGAGGAGGGAAGGAGAAGGAAGAAAGGCATCAATGATAGTGGTGCAATGACAACAATGGTGGTCGGAGTTGGAGAAGGAGGAAAATGAGAAGGAAGAAGAAGAAGAGAAAAAATAAGAGAAAAAGTAGGAGAGGGAAGGGTCTGGGTGGTGGCAACAAACATGATGGCAATGACGATGATGGTAGCAATTGAGGCACGACAAAGAGAGGAGGAGGATGAGATGCAAAAGAAGAAGAGGAAAAAGAGGAAAAAGGAAGATGAATATGAAAGGGAAGAAAAAACCCTAATCGAGATATCTATTGACAGTAAAAAAATGTGTCAAATCAAGAGCAACTGATCATAAATTTGATAGGAAAGTCTCGTCTTTTAACAAGGATTGTATCATTTTTTGAAGTTTATCTTGAAATGAGAGAGTGTCTTGTATAACTAGTTACTTGTATTACTAGTTGCTTGTATTGAAATTCAAAATATCCTATGTACAGTTACATGCATCACAAATTTCTTTTTATGTGATACGTGACATGATTCACGATATTTAAGTTAGTTACTTTTAAGCTCTATATATAGGCATCTTATGTAAAGTATGATTTTATGTATGCACGTGAGTGAAACCGGTGAAATCTAAACCCAACAGTGTCCATCCATACCATTTGTAACCTTTTTTCACTCCTAAGTGTCTCCAACTACTAAAGTTCACCCTTTATTCTTTGTAAATTTATCTTCTTGCACATAGTTGTAAATTAATGTATTATTCCTTAGTCTAGATGAGTTGTTAAGCATACAATTATTTAGTATT